TAATCAATAGTTCCCAATGTTTCACTATGCTCCTTAATTTGAACTCTCGCATAGGACATCAATGGTAGCCCATCTAACTATATAACGCTAATGTGACGAGCGCTAACTTCCACTAATACGATTAGACCATATCTCGTTTCAATGCGCCCGCTCACATACGCTCTATGCTCGCCCATCCAGCCTTGACTCCTCCAACTTTCAAAAATACCGTAATCGTTGTTCAAACTATCATATTTCTACAATTTTCAGGTGTTCTACTCCAACTAGTCAGTTGTTTACAATGTCGCCGTTGCGCACACTACTTCCTCCCTCAACTTGATCTTCTGCGGGGAAAACCTCATCATTTATTGGATCAAAGCTCAAAAATGGCCTGGAATCTCGTACGAAAGTTGATGTTGGATGCTCGTGCGTTAGAAAGCTTATAGTCTTAATCATTCTTGTTGTTTTTACCATATCCTTCTTATACTAGTTGCCTCAGCTTACCCAAAGTACTAGTAATCTGTGCTTTCAATTGTATTTTCATTTACTTAGCAGATACATTTTATTTCCCTCATTTCCCCGAGGGATAACCTTTCAATGCGGGATAATCTTCCATTCAGCCCTTTTTCATGAAACCTAGGTCAGCTCATATGGCCGTGATTACGAGTCATTGTTATTTTTGTGTATTTCTCGGTGCTTAATAAATCGTTCAACTCACTCTTGGGTCTTGCTTCTTGTATAAAGGATTCTCTTCATCTGCATCAAAGAATAGGTCGGTGGCGGTGATTGAAAGGGTACCTGGGACCACAACTCCTGGCGCGATAAGCTTTGCTGGAGTACTGTAGCTCGTCACTTCTGAAAAAGTTTGGTAAGAATATTTCTAGAAATTATCTTGCCTTCGATCGATAACCGTTTACCACTAAGCGGATTTCAAATTTACTCAATAATCGATTGATATTAAGAATCCATAGCATTATCGTACACCAACACCTCCGTCTTGTGTACTATCTCATAGCGCTCAATGCCCAGCTTATTACCGTACCCTTAAGCAAGGTGTTCGCCCAATTTCTGGCGGGTTGCAGCCATCTGTCGTTGTCCTCGTTTCTCTCAAACGTTCACCCACCTCGAGACAGCTTTTGATGGAAAACGATTGGCATAATAAGATGTAATGCGAGGCATCGTTAGTAATTGGCGCTTGTTGGGGTGGATTCGGGCATGTCGTATGACATATGAGTTCGGGCAATCATAAGCCTTTCATATACCTTGTCTATTCACCTAGAAAACGTTATGGGAGAAAAAAACGAGAGCGGAGTCAATGCCGACGAACGTGTGCTCGCTTACGAAGGGATTATGTCGAGCTTTTATGGATTATGTACTGGACACTTCTAGTCTTAGCAAAGATGGAAGTCGTCTTTGAAGGATTTTTGAGTTCTAAAGGATAGGATAGTTTTAGAAAAATGAGCGGGAATAGGCAAGGCTTCTTAACATGGACATTTAACAAAACAGTCTATCATTCGAAGAAAATTAATTTTACCAAGAGAGGAATATAGAAACCTAAAAATGACTGAGCTAGTATCATGGACTTCTATTGCGTCGAATTCGCTAATTTAACCCAACCATACAAGTTCGTTTGCAAAACGAAAAGAGGATTTGAAAACGGAGTTTCTCTATGACTGTTTGCCTAATTCTTCCATCGTCTAGTCTCTTTCCTTTTTTACAAGATTCACTTCCATATTTTCCATCAAGAAGATGGAAACAACGTATTTGTTTAAAAAAATGTACTTT